AACGGGATCGCAAACCTCAGTGCTGCGCCCGCCCCTCGCTCTGCCAGTGAGCGGGAACCGGTCTGCACGTGGGATCCGAACCCTCGGCGGGAGCACCACCGCGCTCCCAAGCGCTGTACTCTACTGAGTGCGCCACCGGGCCAGCCCCACTTACCAGATTTTATATTGTCTGTCTATGCAGTGTTTCTCCCATCTATCCTCTTACAAATACAAATGCAAAGGAGGTGTATCTTATGACAGTATCAAATACTACCATTTGTCCATGAAACCTATGTAGATTTTAAAAACATTCCTTACTTCTATACCCCAATTTGAGGTGATCACACTTTGAATTTTCAGAGCACTTAGAATTTAATAAAAATAACTATAATGTCTAGTATATAGTAATGTAAAAAACAGTTGCATTCTGTAGCTGGGTGCTCGTTATCGTTACACAATGTGAGTGTACTTAATGCCACTGAATTACACACATAAAATGGCTAAGATGGTAAATTTTATGTTATATGTATTTTACCACAGTTTTTTAAAAAAATAATTACATTACTTTTGAATGATGGTAGTCTGACAAATGAGAAGAATTCAAAAGAAATTTTTGGTGTCTTCAGGGTAAATCTAGAGACAGGAAGAAGTTAAGCTCCGGGAGAAACTTTTTGACTCAACATGAGGAAGAATGTTTTAATCAGAAGTTTTTAAAAATGGAATGGTACTATTAATCAAAGATATAGAAATAAAATGAGGGTTTTTATGGCCTACTCAATTAACGAATTGTATAACTTCCATACTTTGCAATGTTATGTTTCAAGAGGCTAGCCGGTAGCTTGGTTAGAGCAAGTTGTTTAGGTTGCAGTGTTCTAACAGCAAAGTCAAGGGTTTGGATCCTTGTACCGGCCAGCTACCAAAAACGAAAAAAGTTAGGTTTATGATATTCAGGACAGGGCTGGCCCGTGGCTCACTCGGGAGGGTGCAGTGCTGATAACGCCACGTCCCCGGGTTCGGATCCCATATAGGGATGGCCGGTTGGCTCGCTGGCTGAGCGTGGTGCTGACAACACCAAGTCAAGGGTTAAGATCCCCTTACCGGTCATCTTTAAAAAAAAAAAAAAGATATTCAGGACATACTATTCAATAGTAAAAAAGCAAATTAAAGAATAGCATGATGATACCCCTCATTTAAAAATTTTGTGTATCTAGTCTCACGTTTTATTATATATAACTATTTAGAAGGCTGTTTGCCAGAATGTGGCTGGTACCTGTATGTAATTCTTGGTTTCATCTTTATACTCTTCTGTATTATAATTTTTTACAAGAAGGATGTATTACATGTGTAAACAGAAACCACCTCACCCTTTTCCTTGTAATACATCACTCAAAATTAAGAGTTTGATGGGAAGATAAAATGGGCTGCCTTGGATAGAAAGGTATTTATTTATTTATTTGAAAGGTATTTTAGTAGTTGGCATGGGAATATTGTAGAATGAGGTTGAACTTGATCACCTCCAAGGCCATCACCTTCATTTCAGGTTGTTACTTTATTCAGTTTCTTCCGAATTGTTGTGGTATAATAAAAAGTAAATAGTTAATCTTTGTCTCAGTTCTTGGCACAGAGTTCCTTAAAAAACTCTTAGAATTTCCAGCGTGATAAGAGTGCCTTTTGTTACTCTTAATGATCCCCTTTGTGTACTACACTTGAGTTTATTTTACTGAGGTGATTTTGGGGGACAGGGGGCCTAGATAGCCTTATTGTGGTCATCAGAAAGACCATACACTTGATTTAGGGGGTTGAAACTTCAGCTCCACTCACCAACTTGGGTTTGGGGGCTGGAGATTGGACTCTGTAAAACTCTTAATTTGATGAGCTTCTGGGTTGGTGAACACATTGATGAGCTGCGAATGTGGCATGCCCAGAGACGTCATTGGAAGCTCTGTGTCTCCTCCCTGCCTTGCCCTAGGCATCTCTTCTTTTTTGTTCCTCAATTGCATCCTTTATAATAAAAACCATTAATAGCAAGTGAAAAGCTTTCCTGAATTCTGTGAGTCATTCCAGCTAATTATCAAACCTAAGGAGGAGGTCATGGAAAAGGGGACTTGCAACTGGCTTCTGAAATGAGGACTGTCTTGTGGAACTGAGCCCTTAAACCTGTAGAGTCTGACGCTAACTTTGGCTAGTTAGTGTCTGAATAGGATTGAGTCGTTGGACACCCAGTTGGTGTCAAGAGAAAAGACACCACACATTTGGTGTTAGAAGTGATGTAAGAAAACATCACACAATTGTATACATTCTTTATCTCTGCAGTCAGATCACAAACTCTTTAAAAATAAGACTGTCCCATCCTCTGCTGCACCTAGCTTATTGACTTGTGCTTATTAAGTGCTAAGAACAGTACATTCTGCTCAAATGAAAGTGTTTTAAGATTATACCTTTGGATATAGGTATTTCATCACATAGTACAAGTAGGGTTTATTTTATGTGAGAGCAATTTTTCCTTTAAAAGTATTTATAAATTGAGGTTCAGAACATATAGCTTTGGTGGTTTAAAATGTATACAATTCATTGGTTTTCAGTATATTCAAGAGTTGTGCAACCATTACGACAGTCAATTTTAGAACATTTTTATCAACCCAAAAAGAAACCCTGTACCTATTAGCCATCACTTCCTACTCTCCTCATAAACCTCATAGTCCCCCCAGCCCTAGGCAACCACCAATCTACTTTCTCTATGGATTTGCCACTTCTGGACATTTTATGTAACTGGAATACCGTGTGTGACCAGCTTCATTTTATATTGCCAAATATCCCATTTGGATATATCACTTATCTATTATCAGTTGATAGACATTTGGATTGTTTTTACTCTTTAGCTATTATTAATAACATCTGGTTAAAGGATTCAAGAATGTTAGTTATAAAGACCAACCAAACTTCATTTTTGTGGGAATGTCCTAATTCAGGGGCCTGTAAGCCAGCTGCCTGTTTCCATTGTAACACAGCCATGCGCATTCATGATTCATCCTTTATTACAAATTGTCTATGGCTGCATTCATCCAACAAAGGCAGAGTTGAATGGTTGCACCAGAGACTAGATGACCCATAAGCCTAAAATACTCACTTTCTGGCTCACTAGAATCTGTTATTGATACCTCGACTTCAAGAAATAGCCTTCATATTTACTAAATACTCTTCTTTGTTTTTCTTGTCTTTGGACAGGCAGAGAACATTTATAATGATGAAGACCCTGAAGGAAGCGTGGATCCAGAAGGACAAGGGTCCTAGATATATCTGCACTTGTGATTTTAGACTCCCCTTTTTTTCCTCTCAACCCTGAGATTGATTTAACACTGGTTTTGAGACACACAGATTTTGTTCGGCTATCCTTCTGTAATAGGTACCAACAATGCTATTAACCCAAACAGTGGGTGTTTTCTAAATATTAACTGAGAGACTTGTTCCAGCAAAGCCAGGCTTACATTTAAATTTTCTTCAGGAATTTTCTAGTAACAAACCCAGGTATACCCACAGAGAGGGAAATATTATGTGTGATTATTTTTCTTCTTGTGCTGTCTCCCCAAGTTTTTCAGACTCATTTAAGTAAAGACTAGAGTGAGTAAGGAATAGAGCCAAGTGAGGTAGGTGTCTGAGCCATGAAGTATAAATATTGCAAGATGTCATTTTTATTCAGGAAATAGGGGAGATTCAAGTCATATAGATTCCTACTCTAAAATTTTCACACCTGACTTTCCAGGATGCACATTATCCTATATTGACCAGTCTCCTCTTGGTTTCTTCAGTTAATTCAAAATTACATGTTCCTCTTTCCCAATATATTTTGCTTGTTAGTGTATTTCTTGAGCTGTTTTCATATTATTTTTCTCCTTTCTGTGAAATGGTTTTTGTTTTTGTTTAACTTGGGACCACCAAGTTGTAAAGACGTATGTTTTTACCTGACAGTTATACCACAAGTAGACTGTCAAGTTGAGAAGAGTGAATCAATAGCTTGTATTTGTTTTTAAAATTAAATTAATCCTTGATAAGCGTTGCTTTTTTTTTTTTTAGGAGTTAGTCCTTGACCACTAGTTTGATACCATCTCCATTTTGGGTGACCTGTTTCACCAGCAGGCCTGTTACTCTCCATGACTAACTGTGTAAGTGCTTAAAATGGAATAAATGCTTTTCTACATAACCACCATGCTGATGGGTTTTATTTAGTATATAACATCCATCAAACACCAGTCTTCTGGCTTCTAGAAGAGTTGTGCAGATGACAGTTATTTTCCATGGTCTTTGACTATCAAGAGCAGAATGAAATAGACTCAGAGCTATAGAAAAGAGCTTTACTCCTTTCCAGGGAAAGTGAAAAACATAAAACATTGAATCAGAGGTGCACGCATTAGTCTTTGATAAAATAACATCTTTTTGAAGTCTGTCCCTAGAGAACTACACGGGCTTTCAAGAGTGTCAAAGGCAGTGCGGTAGGATTTAAGGCAAAATTTAAATTTGGAAAAGGTGCTTGAACCTTTTCTCATAGAGAGGTTGAATCTCCCCAGTATGTTTTTCACTGGGGCCTGTATTTAAATAATAGGCTCTGAAAGCCCTTATCTCCAAGTGCCATAACCAGATAAAATGCTTGGTTCTTAACAATTACTCGGGTTTTTTTGTTTAGTTTTTAAACTAACTAGATTACTCTGACCCAGAAGTACTTTCATAAGGTAAGATTTTTGAGGAAATGTGAATAGCTTTAACTATTAGGTTCAAATCTGGATTGGTTCCTTTCTTCCAAGTCTAGTTGTTTTGGAATATAGTGAAGTTATCTTGACACAATTTTTAAGAGTAAACCATGAGTCCACATACATAGCCTTTAAGAAAAAGTTAACTTTGTAAAAGGATTCATTTAAAATCTAACACTCATAGCACAAAAGAATTCAAATTATAAACCCATGTAATGAAAATTGGGCTGCCTTTTTTACTCCATCTGTGCCTCCTAAGAAATGTTTTTGGTTTGGGTCAACCAAAGGCAAGATACATTCTTCACAGTACTGCATGATGTGTCTACACATTCATCCTTTACTTAGCTTGTATGTGAGAGTTGCTGCTGGAAGACACGATGCTCAAATTTCCATTCCTCGGTGTGTTGAGATCAGTACCAGCAGCCTGTGAAATAGAATCCAGCTAAGAGTTGACTGCTATTCTGCATCCACCCAACCCTAGGATCTTTTCTCACATGTCAGCCAGGATTTGCAACTTCCACAGGTGAATTGCTTGCTGAGACTCTGGCACTCCTTTGGAAAAAAGTATGTCTAAAGGGTACTTAGTGATCCTTTGCTAAGAAGTTTTTTTTTGTTGTTTCTGGTTTACAGATTTGGCCATACATTTCTAAACAGCTCCTGTAAGATTGAGAGAGAAAATAAGTTTATACTTTTGGCAACTTGAAATAATACAGTAGAAAGTTTATAACAACTTCCAAGGTTTAGTTAGTACAGGCTGTGTTGGGGAGAGATTGCTGCACTGTGATTTGTATATGATCAGGGATTACTTTCCCCTAGCAAATATTTGGGTTCCTCCTATTTGCAAAACAGAATGAATGGTAACCTATGTGATGGTGATGGGAGAGGGTAGTCAAAAGTTTTCTATGTCCAGGTTTGTTTGGCTTTTTAAATTTCTACTATTTATGGGCCGGCCCAGTGGCGCACTGGATAGTGCGCCGCTTGGGAAGCGCGGCGGCGCTCCCGTCCGAGGGTTCGGATCCCATGTGCAGACCGGTTCCCGCTCACTGGCTGAGCGAGGCGCGGGAGCAGCACCGAGGCTTGCGATCCCGTTGCCGGTCCCCGGTCCGGTACGGGGGCAACACTGAGGGTTGCGATCCGTTGCCGGACACGGAAAAAAGACAAAAGACAAAAAAATAATAATAATAAAATAAAATAAATTTCTACTATTTATTAGCATATTATTACAAATCATTATTTTTCCTTATGCCCTCTCCCCGACCTATGACTCCCCGAACCCCCTGCTTAATGATTCCCCCATCCCTAGTATCCTAATTTCTACTATTTATTAGCATATTATTACAAATCATTATTTTTCCTTATGCTCTCTCCCCGACCTATGACTCCCCGAACCCCCTGCTTAATGATTCCCCCATCCCTAGTATCCTTAGGTTTGTTTTCTCCTACTGAAAGTTCAGTGTACTTTTGTGGTCTTTTCTTTCTGTCGTCTATGTCTTGTCTGTGTGTCTTTCTTAGCACCCAGTTATGAGTGAGAACATGCAGTATTTTTCTTTGTCTGGCTTATTTCGTTTAACATAACTTTCTCCAGACGCATCCATGTTGCTGCAAATGACAGAATTTCATTCTTTTTTTTTTCTCCTTTTTTGTCTTTTTTACTGAACGATAACGGGATCGCAACCCTCGGTGTCGCGCCCGTACCGGGGACCGGCAACAGGATCGCAACCCTCGGTGTTGTGCCTGCACCGCGCTCAGCCAGTGAGCGGGAACCGGTCTCCACAGGGGATCCGAACCCTCGGCGGGAGCGCCACCCCGCTCCCAAGCGGCGCACTCTCCAGTGCGCCACCAGGCTGGCCCGAATTTCATTCTTTTTTATGGCTGAGTAGTAGTATGTCCAGGTTAACTTCATGAAGGTAATACAATGCCATAAATTCTGCAGTTACATTTCTTTGGATTAATTGTCATCTTTTCCCTATTGTACTTCTTATTTATTTATTTATTTATTTATTTTTAAACGATGACCAGTGAGGGGATCTTAACCCCTGACTTGGTGTTGTCAGCACCACGCTCACCCAGTGAGCTAACCGGCCATCCCTATATGGGATCCGTACCGTGGCCTTGGTGTTATCAGCACCACACTCTCCCGAGTGAGCCATGGGCCGGCCCCTATTTATTTATTCTTTTCCTTTTGGTTACTTTTGTTTTTTCTTTTTTTCCCTTCCCCCTATTGTACTTTTAATCTGATCTACACAAAAGTGTTTAAGCACATCATTGTCCTCAATTACAAGGTTATCAGTGATTTCCCAAACAATAAGCATAATATATTGGTTATATCTGGATAAAACACAGTAAAAAAAAAAAAAATCCAAGAAGATTAGGAAAAAGCATCATTAAAATAGTTATTTTTGGGGCCGGCACCGTGGCTCACTCGAGAGAGAGTGCAGCGCTGGGAGTGCCGAGGCAACGGGTTCGGATCCTATATAGGGATGGCTGAGTGTGCTCACTGGCTGAGCGTGGTGCGGACGACACCATGCCAAGGGTTGTGATCCCCTTACCGGTCCAAAAAAAGATAGTTATTTGTGGATTTCTATTCAAGATGTAAGTTTAACTAGGAAATGAATAAAATTTATGGGTATCTATGTAGTATACAACTTGACATACTTTATCCTTAGGTTCCTTAGGGGAATCTAGTGTATAAGAAATATGAGAACTTTTTGGTAAGAAATTGGGGGCGGGATCCTGAATAGTTTGTTGGTCAGAATGATTCCTCCAGTTCTGCCAGGTCCTAAAAGTAAGTCTGTGGAATATGAACAACTTCCTTGCTTCTATCCCAAACCACTGCCTTTGTATGTTTTATTATATAAAGAAAGTAATGGATGGGTATGTTGATTATTTCACATATTGAGCAATAATTCTGTCCCTTAGCCTATAGACAACATCCATCCTCAGTGTTTTAAAATGACTTACATAGTAATTTAGCCCTCTCCTTGGCCTCCTTTGTCATAGTCTGAATTTGATAGCACAGCTGTTTTCTCTGCTATTCTGAGGAAACATGAATAGCAGGTGGGGTAGAGTAGGGTGAGGAAACAGATGGCCCAGAGCCTAGATGTTTTATCCTATTACAGAATTCCTGGTGATAATTGGGGCATTTTGAATCCTACTAGAAATCAAAACATTCTAAGTCAACTCTGCCTGTCCCAGACATTTTGTAGGTATGGGTTATCCCTAAATGGCTTATTTGTCGTTAGACACACATGTTAAAAAAATTTTTTAGGCACTTATTAGTATTGTTAGGAAAGCAGTAATGATGCAAGCACCAGTCTTCTACCCACAAAGATCACCTTGAGACTGTGTCTCGATTCCACCTGCCTGAGAAGAGGGAGCATCAGCCTGTTCCAGGCTCTTGGGTAGCATAGCCCTTTAAAAAAAGAGAGCTATTTTCCATCTGTTCATGAATGAACACAATTTGAAAATCATTTCCCAAATCATTTTGTTTTTCACTGTTAAGTGAAATTTTCCCTGAGCTCTCCCCACCATCCCCTCAGCCAGTATTAGATGAGATTTGTGTAGCAGCAAAAACTGACTTATAAGTTGAGAGCTCTTCAGCAAGACTGATCCTCAGCTGCTCCATCTCTTTGTTTTTCTGTTGCTGGAGCTGCACCCCACTTCTTAACTGCCTCTGTCGTTCTTCCATTTCTTCCAGCTGTTCCTGCATGAGATGGCCAAGATTTCTAATGAGCCAAACAATAAAAACCTGACATTGTCAATTACAGTTTATAAAGCATTTTCTTAACTCATTGTTTAATCTTCATAGCAGTATCGAGGCAGGTATTTTCTTTATATGATAGGTTAGGAAACTGAAGTTCAAAGAGGCTGTGTCTTGACAAAGTGACAATGCTTTTAAAAATGGTGACCGAAAGGAAGTTTGTTAACCACAGCTTACTTTAATAGGATTCTGGAAGTGGTGAAGAGGTACTCAGAGGGAATTTTAGTTTCACAATCTTAACTTAGTGCTGTTGGGGAGGATTTTGTTCCTTTAGCTCACGAGCTGAGAGTTTCATACACTTCCCTCCATGTGCAAGTTTCTTTCTGTTAAGATAGTCGGTAGTTTTTATAATATACTAACTTAAGTTGAAAGAAACCAAGTCTTCATGGAAGCAATTAAATATTGGCTAGAATTCTAGGAGAGTTGTACGACTAATAGAAGTCCATGTTTAGAAGATAATTGGGTTGACAGTTTGCAGGAAAAACAGTAGTTTTTGTATCTGAAGCTCCTTGAAGTCAGAGATATCTCCACTTAGTACTTACCTTAATATCATATGCAAATAGGTACTTTATTAGTGAGGATGATGGTTATCATAGTTATTAATTTCCTGCATCCTTTACTCATTTCACAAAAAGACTGAAATTTGTTCAAAAGTTCTAAGTTGGAAGATGAAGATGCTTATGCCTAGGAGGTCCTTGGGAGCCTTCAGATCATTTTCCATTTCTCATTCTCACAAAACCAGGCTGGGATTGTGTCTGCCTAGGGTTAATGCCTGAGGGATGAGTTAAGGAAGATGTCAGCAAGTCAGTCTCTGGCTTAGCTGCTAGCTGGCATGGATCCTTAAGGAAGCAGGAGGGACTTGGGAAAAAAGGTTGAAGTTGGAAAGATATATTTTAAAAAAGGGCAGTGACTTCACCTCATATTTTGGAGAATACTAAGATAGGAATCCAATTGGGGTATGTGCTGTTATTAGAAGGATCTAAATAATTTGTCTTCTGAGTCATCATTGATATACCTATGGCACATCAATCTGCAGTGTTTGATACTGTGGCTGAATTTCAATTCTCAACATTGTCAAAAGGTCTTTTTTAGTGCCCAGCCATGCCTTGGCACCACACAGAGATGCAGACTTACCACCTAAGAGTGTGTCATTGGAAGGGAGGCAGGCATCTGCATGCTGCTGCCCTAATTTCCTAAACCTCACTACCTAGCAAACCTGTTTTGATTAGGCACAGAAGTACATTCTTGAGAAAGCAGTCTGCACCATCAGCGATCAGCTCTGACAAGGTGGGACAGCCTCACTGTAATGAAGGAAGGATTGCTATAGTAGCATTAAGGACAATCTCCAGTCTTTTTTTTTTTTTTCTTTTTTTTTCCGTGTCCGGCAACGGATCGCAACCCTCAGTGTCGCCCCCGTACCGGACTGGACCGGGACCGGCAACGGGATCGCAACCCTCGGCGTTGCGGTTGCGTTGCCCCCGCGCCTCGCTCAGCCAGTGAGCGGGAACCGGTCTGTATGTGGGATCCGAACCCTCAGCGGGAGCGCCGCCATGCTTCCCAAGCGGAGCACTAGCGCAGTGCGCCACCGGGCCGGCCCGACAATCTCCAGTCTTAATCCTATTTAGCACCCCACTAGATTAACTTTCCAAAAACTTTTATCATCTAAAAATTCTTCAAAGGCTTCCCATTTTCTCTAGTGGTATTCAAATCCCTTCCAGTTTGAGCCCTACCTCTAACTTGAACCTCCATTACTCTTCCATATAAACACTTTCCTCTAGCCCCACACTGTCCAGTACGGAAGCCACTAGTCACATGTGGCTATGGAGCTGAGCATTTGACACACAGCTAGTTTGAATTGAGAAGTGCTGTGAGTGTAAAATACACAGCACATTTCTAAGACTTGGTGCACACACTGTAAAATATTTCAATTTTTGATATTGATTACATGTTGATATATTTTTTTATATGCTGAGTTGAATATTAAAGTTAATTTCATCCGTTTCTTACTTTTTTTTTTTTTTTTTGGTGGCTGGTTGATGTGGGGATCTGAACCCTTGACCTTGGTGTTATAACACTGTGCTCTAACCACCTGAGCTAACTGGTCAGCCCCTCTTTACTTTTTAAAATGTGGCTACTAGAAAATTTTAAATGACACATGTGGCTTTTGTGATACTTTTATTGGACAGCACTGCTCTAGCCTGACCAACTCAGATCTCTATGCCTTTGTTCCTGCCACTTCTCTCAACTAGATAGCTTGATCCTTGTTCCTGCCTTCCCCCACCTATAACCTACCCAGTATCTGGGGGCAGTATGTCTGTCTGTAGTGACCCCAACGCCAGATCTGACCTCTAGTAACACTTTTATTGTCAGTATTCCTGATTTAATTTTCTACTTAGGCTAAAGACAGAGAAAAGACATTTACGTCAGTAGAGAGGGAACAGCTAGAACAATAATAACATGAAGTGATAGGTGCTGTGGAAACGAGGAGTATCTTGCACACTGAGGATATCAGGGAAAACTTCACAGGAAGAAAAAAAAGGGGGTTAAAGGATGAGTAAGTTCAAGCAATAAAGGGAAAAAGGCAGTCTGGTACAGGCAGGGAATTGTGGGAAAGTGTGGCTCACTGGAACTGAAGGTAATTAGTGATGGCTGGAGCACAGGGTGGCTATGAGGGAATGGAGCATCTGCTTTACTGTGTTGCTATTTTTTTTTTTTAACTCATGTTTTGTTTTGTTTTGTTTTTTTTAAAGATGACCGGTAAGGGGATCTTTACCCTTGACTTGGTGTTGTCAGCACCATGCTCACCCAGTGAGCAACCGGCCATCCCTATATGGGATCCGAACCCGTGGCCTTGGTGTTATCAGCACCACACTCTCCCGAGTGAGCCACAGGCTGGCCCTTTAACTCATGTTTAACTCCCAGTCAGGTTGTAGGTTCCTGGTTCTTCCTATGTCCAGCACCCTAAACATAATGCTTGTTGATGTGAAATGCTTTATAAATATTAACAAGTTCATTCTTTACAACCCTATGATATGAGGTTATTTTTTTGTTTGCTTTTTTGGTGGCTGGCCAGTAGGGAGATCTGAACCCTTAACCTTGGTCTTATAACACGGGAGCATTATTATTAATCCCATTTTGCATGTGAGGGAGCTGAGCCACAGAGGTTAAATAATTTGTCCAAAGTTTCCTAGTTACTAAGTGACAGAACCAGGATTTGCCATTGTCTTAGAGCTCATACTCTTAACAACTCTACTTTATTCCTGTAAAGAAACAGGCTCTTTAGTGGTTTTCAAACAGTTTTTTGTGAAGCCCTAGGAGCCCATATTGGAGTTCCCTTGCTACTCCAATTAGAGAGTAAATCCATTTTTACCTGTTTTATATATTGGCATTCCATATAAAATTATGTTCTAGGAAAAGGGTCCATGACTATAGAGAAAACCTTTTTTGAAAACCACTAGCCTAGAGAATACCTAAGAGGCTGGCAGGTTAGCTCACTTGGTTAAAGCGTGATGCCGATAACACAGAGGTCACAGATTCGGATCCCCATACTGGCGAGCCACCAAAAAAAAAATGAATACATAAAACTGTATATAGTCTGGTCCCAATCTACCTCTCCAGCCTCATCTGTCTACTTGCATTCCTTACGATTCAGCCACACTGAGCTCACTTCCCAAAACGACATGCCTTTTTGTGTTTATGAATACATAAAACTGTATATAGTCTGGTCCCAATCTACCTCTCCAGCCTCATCTGTCTACTCGCATTCCTTACGATTCAGCCACACTGAGCTCACTTCCCAAAACGACATGCCTTTTTGTGTTTTCATGCTTTTGTATGAGATGTTCCTTCTGCCTGGACCAATGAATTCATTCATTCATCAAGGCTCAGCTCAACCTTGTAGTGGTTGAGTGTGGACTCCAGCTAAAGTGCTTAGGGTTATGTCCTCACTCTGTCATTCCCAAGCTGTAAAACCCTAGACAAATAACTTCTCTGTGTCACCTGTTTTCTCATTTTTAAAATACTTCATACCTACCTCATAGAGATTTTAAGGATTAAATGAATTATTATGTGCAAAGAACTTCAAGTATATGCTAGCTATTCTTAATTCTCCATGGAATTTCCCCTCATTTACTCAGACAAGGATAATCATACCTGTTTGATCGGTACAGTGCCTTATTTCTACAACTATAACAGTGCTTACTTATCACATTGAAGTAGGTATATTAATTATTTCATTGATTCTAAGACTTTTTCACATTTTAACATCTCAGTTCAGGTTAGATTTCATGAAATATGTTCACTTTATCTGGTATCCCTCCTTGGACTACAAACTCTTTGAGGGCAAGAATGCCCCCCTGCCCCCACTCCCCACTATTTTTTCTCTCTATTGCCAGAACATAGCTAACTGCCTGGCATGCAATGAGGAGAAATTATGTTGAATGAATGGATGATGAAGGTGAAAATAGAGGCAAACTCTGTGATTGTTAAGAGTGGAGAGTAGCCTACAAATTAAAGGGGCGTCCTTCAAAGCTAATCAGATGAAATACACAAACATAGTTTAGGAATCCACTTCAGAAAGGACTGGGTCCTTTAGACTTTGATTCCTACTACTTTAATTATGGTACAGTGATAGAAGCTTATGTCAAGAGTGTATTTCATAGAATGATCTGAAACAAAGCTAGTACAGTGATGGAAATCATTGATGAAGATAATTCTACAATTCTGGTACTATGTCAGAAAACTCTAATCCAGAGAATTCCCTATTTATGGCACCACCATTCTAGTTATCTTTGCCTGAAATCTCAGCCTCCTGTTTTTAAAAATTATTAATTTTTTTTACATTCTAAAATGTTGCAAAGCCGTTGGATTGGGGGGGAGGAAGGGGGAAAAAATAGGATGGGAGAAGGCAGAAGAAGGGGGTGTGGTCGAGGCCCATGACACACACCCTCATTCTGGCAGGGGAGATCAGGGGGCTTCCAGTGGCAGCTTAGTCCTTGCTGGGCTGGATGCAGAAGTCAGGGGTCAGCCTCTTCTGACCTCTCACCTCCCTGCCCCATCCATTCAATCACCAAGTTTATTATTCTGTAGTTGTTCTTGCATCCTTCCCCTTTTATTCTCGCTACCATTGTGACCTTTTACCTATAGTAGCTTCCTAATTAGTATCCCTTACCTCTGGGTCTCTAGTTCATTTCACACACCACCACCAGCCCTTTCTAAAAGAGATCTATAGAGCACAGTGTTGTAACACCAAGGTCAAGGATCCCTGTACCAGCCAGCTGCCAGAAAATAAATAAATAATAAAAGAAAGTCAATCATGTTACTCCCCTGATTAAACAAATACCTTTAATGATGCAACTGACTACTGAATAAAATCCTAACAATTATCAGATTTCAAAATCCAATGTGTTCTGCCCCAAGCTGCCTTTACAATTCAACTTAACAGCTGTTCACCTTTCACCTGCAACCAAGTTACTATGTTTTAGATATGTTGGGTTAAATAAAATATATTAAAATTACTTTAACTAGTTTCTCTACTTTTCTTTCTGGTGGCTGGCCAGTAAGGGACTCCACTTTTTTAATGTACTTATTAGAAAATTTAAAATTATATATTTGGCTTGCATTATATTTCTATCGGACAGCACTGGTCTAGATTTTCCCTATACTTCAATACCTAGCTTAAATTCCACCTTTTCTTCCATGAAGAGTTCTCTGATTAACCCACGGCTAAAAATAATCTCATTCTCCCATAGTCCTCATACTCTCGTGCGTCTCTCTTAAAGCACATATTACTTTCTGCCCTAAGTTACAATTATTAATATAATGTCTATTTGAGTATTAGCTGTTAAGAACAGTATTTATGCTAAATAAATAAGTGTCCTTTCATAAGATTGTGAACCAATTAGAAAAACATTTGGAGGGCAGTGTGGATACTGGGTGGGTAAAGGTATGCATAGTTTGAAAACATTTCTATTTTTTTTGGTGGCTGGCCGGTATAGTGAAAACATTCAGTATTATGACCCAAAAAACCCCACTATTTTCATAATACAACCTACAGAAAGCTTGGCAAAACCTTCGGTGAAGTGAATGCAGCCATTTTCAACAGGGGACATGTTCCCTTAAAGGTATATCAAAATATCTGGGAGAGCATAAGATTTTTAAGTTTACCTAAAGAATGTGTGTTTCAAAAGACAAAAATACTGCTCTAAAAGACACCACACTGTGGTCTTCTCAGTGCCCAGCAGCACTTAACTCAGCACTTAACTGATGTGTACACTGAGCTACGAGTGGCAGAGAATAATACAGAAATAAGTAAAACACACTCCCTACCTTCTGAAAGCTCACAGTCTGTAGGAGGGAGACATAATTATTTATTCACTTAGTATTTATATCCCACTTGCTCCAAAAAGGGATTAGAACTGGCTCACACTTAATCAGATCTTGAACTTGAATACAAGGGAGATGGTGACAAATGCACAAAAAAGGGAAATGAGGGGGCCGGCCCGTGGCTCACTCGGGAGAATGTGGTGCTGATAACACCAAGGCCCCGGGTTCGGATCCCATATAGGGATGGCCGGTTCGCTCACTGGGTGAGCGTGGTGCTGACAACACCAAGTCAAGGGTGAAGATCCCCTTACCGGTCATCTTTTTTTTTTAAAAAAAAAAAAGGAAAGGGGCCGGCCCGTGGCTCACTCGGGAGAATGTGGTGCTGATAACACCAAGGCCCCGGGTTCGGATCCCATATAGGGATGGCCGGTTCGCTCACTGGGTGAGCGTGGTGCTGACAACACCAAGTCAAGGGTGAAGATCCCCTTACCGGTCATCTTTTTTTTTTAAAAAAAAAAAAGGAAAGGGGCCGGCCCGTGGCTCACTCGGGAGAATGTGGTGCTGATAACACCAAGGCCCCGGGTTCGGATCCCATATAGGGATGGCCGGTTCGCTCACTGGGTGAGCGTGGTGCTGACAACACCAAGTCAAGGGTGAAGATCCCCTTACCGGTCATCTTTTTTTTTAAAAAAAAAAAAAGGAAAATGAGGAATAGAGATTAATAGATTTCATCCCAGTTTAAAAACTGGAAAATTTTAAGGCAGAAATTGGATACATGGAACTCGAGTGTGACTGGGGTGAGGAGGAGGGAATGAATTAATTCCGTCTAGCCTCATTCTCTCCTGCTCTATATATACCCAAGTATGATTCACTATTCAGTTGGAATTAGAAAAGGAGGCTGTTGGGCTGGCCGGTTAGTTCAGTTGGTTAGAGCACAGCCTTATAACACCAAGGTCATGGGTTCTTTGTACTGACCAGCTGCAAATGCAAAAAAGAAAAAAAGGATGCTGTGGTAAGAGCACTGAAATATTTGGAGTTGGGTAGACCAGGGTTCAAACTACTCCAATTCACTTATCCTCCATTTCCTCATCTATAAAAAATGAGAATACCTGACTTATGGGATTAATGTGAAGATCAAATGAGATAATTGGTGTAAAAATGCTGTGTAAACTAAGAGTGCAGGTAACTTTCAGCCCATAAGGTCTGAATGAATGTAATAAATGAAGGATGGAGGGGAAAAGTGAGTGAATGGCCCGGAAGAATAAGTTGTTCCTACATATGATAGTATCCTTCAGCGCCAAACACATTTGACTCTAGTCACCCTTTCCATCCTCAGGTTAAAAAACTTCACTTCCTTTCATTACCAATGGGCCTACCTTGTACTGCTGCACCTCTTCATCTCGTTTTTGCCTCAAAAGTGTGAGCTGATCCTCCAGGTTCCTGTTTTGCAGGTGGAGTTGCCGGGCCTCTGCTTGTAGGGGTCTCAGAGCCTCCTTCATCTCCTGGATCTCAGCCTGGGTTTTCTGCAGAGCTTTGGTCCCAGCTTCCTTCCTCTCGAGAAGCCGCAGTAGCTGAGGCTCATATTCCTCCTCTAGGCCCTGGCGGCTCTCTGCCATGAGATTTTCAAACTGGGTAGAGAGCCGCCGGCTCTCCTGGAGAAAGTGCCCATCCCTCTGGCTTGGGGGTGCTTCTAGTTGTCGCTGTAACTGCTCTTTCTGCTTCTGATAGGCATCCCGGAGCTGGGCCAGTTCCTCGGAGAGCTGGGCTGCCCGCGTAGTCAGCACTTCCCGAAAATCGGCAAACTGAGCTACATCCTGCTGGCGGCACTCCAGCTGGTATTGGTAGGCCACACATTCCTTTGTCACCTTAAACAGCTTCTGCTTGACCAGCCGGATCTCCTCCCTTAGCGCATCCCTCTCCAGCTCTGCTTGGGCATGCAGCTTGTAGGCAGCCAGGATGTCCTGATGGACTTGCTGCACCTCCTGCAGGGCTGGTTCCCGGAGCAACACAAGCTCATGGATGAGCTGATCCCTCTCCTCTTCCAGCTGGGCCACAGCTTGGACACACTGCTGGAATCGCCCCTCGAGCAATTCCAGGTCCTCTATGCTCAGGTTCTCCTCTGTGCTGGGGCTAGGCTCGGCTCTGAGGTTCTCATCTGGGTTAGATTTCTCCTCCCTTGTCTCTCCCCCGTGAACAATCAGATCTGGGCTTGTGGTCTTTCCTGGCTCCACGGGCTCCTCCACAAACTGTACCTCATCTGGCTTCACAGTCTCCTCCACAGACAGTGTCTCCTCTGGATTCATAGGTTCTTCCACATACAGTACCTCATCTGGCTGCCTGGTCTCCTCAATATACAATGTCTCCTCTGGCCTTTCAGTCTCTTCCACATAGAGTGTCTCATCAAGGTCACCTGTGTCCCACAGGTAGAGAATGTCATCTAGGTTCAGGGTCCCCTCCAAAGATAGAGTAGCTGCTGGGTTCAAGGTCTCTGCTTCAGTCAGGGATTCAGAGTTCTCTTGAAGAGGAGAATTGTTCTCTGCTCTTGTTTCCCTTCAAGAGAAATAATTTAAAGTGAAAAGGCAGCCAGCATCCCAAGAGGGTTCGTGATTGGGCTATTAGCAAGAAGCCTAAATTATATCAGGTTCTCAGACCTCAGCAGTCACTTGTCTGCTCCCTTCCCTCTATGCATCTATCCCCTCTCACACACAGTCCATTGTTTAGATCCCCTGACAACATCCTCAGTGTAACTGTCTAGCTTCTGCTTATGTATCTTCAAGGTCAGGAAACTCACACCTGAGGCATCTCTATTTGTTCCATAGCCATAATAAAATTCCAGTGTTGAGGTAAATCCTTCTTCCTTGCAATTTTTACCTGCTGGACTTGATTTTCCCTTCTAGAATCAGACATGTAAAGTATTTAAACACAGATAACTAACTAATCTTTCAGTAATTCCATACATGTCAGGGTTTCCGTGCCGTCCTCATTTGGGTCACTTCCTTCTGATCAGGTCCAGACTGTCACCGTCCTTTGAGGACGGGTATAGGAAGCAATACCCCAGGTGTGTTCTGGGCAGGGAAGTCTCTGGACACTATCTATACTCCTACTGAGGCAGCCAAGATTATCTTAGCAAATACGGTAGCTGCATTATATTCTTGACAACTGCTGAGTTTGACTAAAATCTTTAAAACTTTTTCACACCATGTGCTTTTAAGCCACATCTCTTGTTGCTGTGAAACTTCATCTTGTTTGAATTGGCTTATCCTTCTAGCTTGTCAAAGGCTTTTGAATTCAGATGCTGTGATTTCAATATAGGAGCTCCTTGACCCAGCCTCTCTATTGCCTATCAGCTTACTCAGTTCCTGTTGGGAAATGCTCTCCTGCTTCTTTGCCTTCAAATAACTTTGGTCTTTGCTGTTTCAAATGTATCTCTGAGCAATATTTTGAAAATATAAAATACTATAGAAATAATAATCGTAAATTACAACTATTAAGGGCTTACTTTGTGCCAGGCCCTGTTCTAAATGCTTTATATGTATCAACACATTTAATCCTCATAACAGGGAACTGGCCAGTTAGCTCAGTTGGCTAGAGTGTGGTGGTGTTAACATCAAGATCAAGGTCGAGTGCCGGCCCTTGTCTCACTTGGGAGAGTGTGGTGCTGACAACACCAAGTCAAGGGTTAAGATCCCCTCACCGGTCATCTTTGAAAAAAAAAGATCAAGGTTGAGGGTTTGGATCCCTTGATTGGCCAGACCGCCTCCTCCCCTCCCCAAATGTAATCCTCTTAACAATTCTATGAGGTAATTACATAAATTATCCCCATTTTATAGATTAGGAAGCTAAGGCTAAAAGTGGTTAATGTAAGGGCTGAACCGTGGCTCACTCGGGAGAGTGCGGCACTGGGAGCGCAGCGGCCTGCGCCAAGGCCGCAGGTTCAGATCCTATATAGGGATGGCCGGTGTGCTCACTGGCTGAGCGCGGTGTAGGTGACACCAAACCCAGGGTTTCGATCCCCTTACCGGTCACAAAAAAAAAAAAAAGTGGTTAATGTACTCAAGGAAACTCAGATAGTCAGTGTGCACCAGTTATAAAACAGACTAAATTTGAGTGTAGTTTTGAAGAAGCTTTTTTTTTTGTTTTGAGATATAAAGCATAAATGAAAAGCCACATGTATCAAAGAATTTGATTTATTGGAATTGAAAAGTCCCCTACTCGTGTCCAACTCCAAGTTCCCGATAAAGATTATTTTTATTGTAAATCATTATATGCTCTGTTCTCCTGTCTAACACCCCATGAATCCCTGGTTTCCCTTTCTGCATCTCAGCGTGGCCCTCTGGAAACCTCAAAAGTGCAGCTTCACCAGGCCTCAGACATCGCTGGTCTCAAACTTTAAGCTTGTAGACAACCTCAACCATCACCTAGTCCACTCACATCACTTTAGCGGAGAGGAAGTGATTTTTATATATTGTCACCTGATGTCACTTGGCACCTCAAACTCAGCTGCTCCCAAATTATTGTTTTCCCCAAGCTTGCTGCACCTGTATTCTCCAGCTCAGAAAAACATCACCATACTCCAGGTTGATTAGGCAAGAAATCTTTTGACAGCTCTTTCCCTCTTCTGTATAGACAATGCACTGAGAACTTACTTTTCTTTCTTTTTTTTTTTGTCTTTTTCCGTGTCCGGCAACGGATCGCAACCCTCAGTGTTGCCCCCGTACTGGACCGGGGACCGGCAACGGGATTGCAACCCTTGGTGTTGCTCCCGCACCTCGCTCAGCCAGTGAGCGGGAACCGGTCTGTATGTGGGATCCGAACCCTCGGGCGGGAGCGCCGCCACGCTTCCCAAGCGGCGCACTATCCAGTGCGCCACCGGGCCGGCCCGAGAACTTACTTTTCTATCACAGAACATCACCAGTCTCCATCTCCCTCTTTTTATCCCACCGCCAGGGCCCTGGTCTAAGTCATCATCTCTCACTCACACTTTTGAACCAGCCTTCTAATGGACCTTCTTCCTTCTCACCCCAATCTATTCTCTACAGTGCCACAGTTAACTTGCTACAACATAAAGTGAACCATGTTGCTCCACATCATGGTTTCAAGGTCCTTAAAGATGTGCCTCAACATAATCTTTTTAGCCTCATCTCACATTGCTCCTGCGACCCACCCAGTCCTTGACAGCCCAGAACATGCGTTAATTTTTACACCTCCTACTTTCAGCCAACAATGTCTAGATGATCCAGCTGAGAAATGCAGCTCCCTGAACACCACCTGACTGGAGAACAGCCCTGTACTCTCTGAGAAGGTAGAGCTCCTAGCACCAGGAAGAACACACCTGCTTAGCCAGCCAGTCCCACCCTGATACTCAACCAAGTCCCTGCTTTCTCAGCAGACAGCCCTCACATCATGCTCCTGCCAAGCTCCCCACCTTAGAATGACTTCACCATGTTCAGGGCACTATTTTAAGCATTTTACATGAATACTCATTTACAGAACACTCATCTATTATCTCCATTTTATAGATGAGGAAGCCAAAGCACAAACAGTTAAGAATTCACTCAGGATTCCACAACTCATATAAGTGGTAGAGCCTAGAGAAGGCTGGCAGTACTTACCACTCTCCTGCTACAGAAGCCATGAGGTCTAAAAGAGGTAACTGTGGCACATATGCCACAGCTTGGCACATAGCAGTCAAAATATATTTCGATCTATTTACATAACAAATTTCTACTCATCCATCCTTCAAGCCCTGCTCAAACTCTATCTCCTCTGTGAAGTATTTCCCAAACAACCCCCATCTCCGTATTCAGGGCACTCTGAATGCAGTTCATCTCAGCACTTAGTGCTTTGCATGACAGAAGTGCATGAAGACAGAAGTCTCCCTGGTAGTGAACTTCCTAAGGACAAGTACAGTTCTCATTCCACTCTATATCCCAGGGTGAGGCTCTGTAGAAGGAAGGCAGACAAACCAACTGAGCTCCAGGGCCTGCCTATGGCTCACTTGGGAGAGCGTGGTGCTGACAACACCAAGTCAAGGGTTAAGATCCCCTTACTGATCATCTTAGAAAAAAAAAGAAAGAAAGAAAACAACTGAGCTCCAAGGGGAAAACTTGCCCAAGGTCAAGTGGCAAAACTGGAAGTAGAACCTAGGCCTCCTGACTTCGAGGCAGTGCTGTTACCACACATGATGTTGCCCCCACCCATAGTGCCAGGCCTCTGAGAGATGCTACTCTCCCACAGCTGCCTCTCTGCAAGGAGTTGGGAGAGAAGCAGATTAAGGGAGGCAAAGGGGAGAGAGAGCAAGCTCCACTAGGGCCCCTGAGCTCAGGCTTCCTTGGGTCCCAGGCAGCTTACCTCTGCCACTCTGTCCCCATCCCCAAAAGACTCTAGCAGCTCCCCAACCCTGTCCATCAGGGCTATGGCTGGGAGTGTGTGTGACATTGCTGGTGAGAGTCATTGTGTCTGACTCAGAGTGAACCCGTATACTCAGAGTATACCTGTATGCGTGTACAGCATTACAGTTGAGCGTATGCGTAAGACTGTGTTCAGCTTTGTGCTTTCGTGTGACAGTGAAGGGATGTCAGGAGGTGTGTATTTGCACCTCCACTTCTTGGTACACGGAAAAGTCCCATGGCCACAGTCTGACGTGGGGCAGAAATACTCCCTATTCACTCACCCCAAACCTTTCAGCCACAGGTCCTTTCCCCTAACCAGTGGTGGCTGACAGTGTGGCTAGATGGGGGAGGGCCTCTTCTCCAGCCCCCTGCCCAACCAGGGCCTTCCTGCTGGTCTGGAGCAGTAGACTCTCCCCCGACCCCCAACCCCAACCCTGGCCAGACTGGAGAGAACAAGCTGCCTGAACAGACTCTTAACTTCAGGCTGGCAGGTGCCCAACCTTGCACCAAGTGGCGTCCACACAGTGAATTCAGCAACTGGAGGCTTCCATCTCCAGTTGACATTTGGAGTGAGGAATGCAGGAAAGAGAGTCTCTGGGCCAAATGGCATTTGAGGGGTTGATGCCCACAAGCCTGAAAGGGTTAATTCTCACACAGCCCGTGGGAGGGGAGTGGTATTAGCAAAATCCACGGACAAACGGAGGTGCCAGCACCGCGGGCCGGACCCCCCTATCTCCCTTCACTGGGTGGCTGCGCCCCGTGCCCCACCCCGGCTGGACCACTACCCCCAGCCAGGAGAAAGGTGCCCGTGGGTGGGGGTAGGGAACCCGGATAGTACCCCCTCCCCAAAGGGGCGGCGACGCGGGCCTCGGACAGTCCTACCTCGCGGCCTGGGCGGCGCCGTCCCCGCCGTGCCAGGGCTCCGGGCTGGCCATGGCTGCGCGACCCCG